GTGAATATAAAATATTTCCTACCGCGTCTATCGAGAGACTCGTACAGCATAGCTCACCATTGGAAAAGAGAAATGAAAACAAAATACGCAGAGTACTCCCGGTCATTCTGCAGCTTCAACTTTCAACATGCACGATAAGCGGGAGAATGAATGTATTGAAAAATCGGCTTCCACCGAGCTGCTGCAGCAAACAGCACACAAGCAATCGACAAAAGGCAGAACGACTGCGCCATTTTGCCAGTCAAACCAACGTGCTTGCTTTGCACATTGAATGCAGAAAACGTACGCGATCACGCAGTCACAGTCGATATGCAATCCCCTTTCAAGCCCTGCTCCGGAGTGTTGGGAGGGTTGAACATTTTCGGCACGAAATTGACCTTATTGTCCGCATACCACTTCAGCACGTCCTTGGAGTAGTGGCATGAGGCCAAATCCGGCCAGAAGATTGTTGGGACGTTGTGGGCCTTCAGGAGAGGAAGCAGCCGCTTCTGGAGGCACTCTTTTATGTACACCTGTCCGTTCATCGTGTCCTGGGTCACGAAAGGTGCACTCCGCTTCCCGCACGTGCAGATGGCTTGCCAAACCAGGAATTTCTTCGCAAATTTGGACATCTTCTGAGTGCGGACATGCTCCGGAACGCTGAACTTATCCTTGGCCGTGAAAAACAGGTTGCCGGGGATCTGTTTCAAGTCGGCCTTCACATATGTTTCGTCGTCCATGATGCAGCATTCAACTTTCGTCAGCATGTTGAGGTACAACTTCCTGGCACGGGTTTTGGCGGACTTGTTCTGCTTCTCGTCGCGATTAGGGGCCTTTTGTACCTTGAACGTTCGAAGCCCAGCCTTAGTTTTGGCCTTCTGGACAAAACTTCGGCTTAGGTGCAGCTTCTTAGCCACATCCCTAACGGAGGCGTTCGGATTTCGGTTGAAGGCCCCAACTACGCGGTTGTGATTTTTGGTGTTGTACGGAATACTTTTTCCTTCACTTCTGGGCTTCCGATCGGTGATCAACCGTTCCTCGAACCGCTTAATCACTCGCGACACCGTGGAATTCGCGATTCCCAACGTTTTAGCGATGGAACGATGCGAGAGATCCTTGTTCTCGTGATGAATGCCCAAGATTTTATCACGCACGAGCTGTTCTTTCGACTCCATTTCCGCGAGTTTTGATCACAGGACTTTAAAACTTGCAGGATGTAAATAATGCACTATGAACTAAATCCACCCAAATTTTCATTAAATTCTACCCAACGGTTAAAAAGTTAGAGCAATTTCATAGTGTGGCAATTTCATCGTGGACACCCTTTAAGTGTGGGTAGTGCTTAATAGGCCGGAAATGGGGTAGTTAACCCTATGCATTCAACGCAAAAACAAATACAGTTTATTACTAGAATTAAAATCAACTTTGTTTTACGTATCTATACTAAGCCTAAACTCTATTCTATCGATTGCTTCAAAGGGTTGCGAAGGGTTTCTACCAAGCTTGTAAGGTGTTCGGTAATCAAAAATTACCACAAATTTTTAAAATAATTACTGAATTTTTAATTGCTCAGTAATGTCAATGTAATCAAAATAATTGTGGGTAATTTATGGGTAATTTCAGTAATTCCTACTGCTTGGAAAATTATTTTGTCATTTTAAAGATAAAAAAAAACAGTTATTTGAGTAATATACTTAAATATTTGTACCACGGAATTATCATATTCTTTATTATTCTATGTAAATTTTATTATTTTGTTGCTTCAGCTATATTTCATTATTAAATAAGTGGAAATAGAATAAAGATATTTAATAAAATGAACATTATGCAACCCTTGATGCAACCAAATCAAAGCGACTTTTTCATATTAGGGGGGATCCATGTAATGTGTCACGCTAAATTGTAAAGGAAAAATACATTTTTCCTATATCTAATGCATTGCTTGTCTCAAAATCATAACCCCCCCCCCTCCCCTCCCCCTCGCCATCATCCCGTAGCACGATAATCGAGATTTGATTGCCAATTATGATGCATCAGCGCGCGTAAATGTCCAAATCCAAATCCAAATCAAAACAAAAGCATCAGCCGAGTCTTGCTATATTGAAATACAGTATTTACAGTTGAACTTCTTTTAACTCAGTTTGAAATATGAGTTTAACAAAATTCCAGTTTTGTTTTTTGCTGTGCATTATTATTATTATTATTAATCGAGCTTGGATGTCATCGCATTTCTCTATCAATTCCATCTTTGGAAGCATTGGTAATCATTGAATAATTGAGTTATTCCTAAAATTATTCAATTCGTAATAATTTCGATAATTAAAGTAATTTCAAAGCAATAAAGTAATTTTAATTAATTGAAAAATAATCCAAGTAATTTTCGGTAATCTGACTGGCACTGACCGGTAATTAACGCTGGTAGACGCCCCTCGTATTGGTGCGCTGTATGAAACTGCGTTAGAGAAAATCCATCAACTCACGTCACGACACTTGACTGTCTATAGTCACTGTCACTTTTTTTATTATTAGAGAGATTTTTAGCCGTTGGCTAGTTTATCTCTAAAAAATAGGAGGGCCCAGAGGGGGGGGTGCTGCCTGAAAATGTTGGTACGGAGTTGGCTTACAATTCACATGTACTCAAAAAGAAGCAATTAAAACAGATTCCAGTAAAAAGACTAACAATACAGGCAACCAGAAACAAAAACACAATTTGCTACATCAAAGTTATGCAGGGTTTTGAAAAATATCGGAGCTCCACCGTAAGAGGGGTAATCCTCCGTCGTATAGCCCAGCGTCCTTGAGGAAATAAATAACTGTCGCTAAAGTGGAAGGTTCGTCGCCCTGTATGTCCCTAATGCTGTTGGGAAGTGCATACTGCTCCCGTAGTTGTTGGTATTGCGGGCACAGGCATACGATGTGTTCCACCGATGCAGTGGTTCCACAAACGTAGCACATTCTGTGGAACTGCGTCCCACCAAAACTATGTGAGATCCTTGTATGGCCTGTCCTAAGACGAAAAACCACCTTCTGGTCCCGTATTTTCGACATATCCATCCACTTGCTCGTCGTTCCTTTGATTCTTCGGATGAAGAAGTATTGGGATTGGCACCACTCTGCTTCCCAGGCTTCCCACATTTTGCTGATTATCCATCGCTTTAAGTCTTTTAGTGGCACTTTATCGGAGTAACGGGGGCCAGCTGGTCCAGACCCTGCCAGGCTGTCGGCTTCGCTATTTGCTGAGATACCGCAGTGCCCACCGTGTTTGGAGGTGTGGCCTCCATAATAGCCTGTATCCAGGGGTGAGTCAGGGTCTCAGATGTAAGGGCTTGTATCACGCTGTACGAATCGGATAGCACCAGTATGGGCCGGTCCGAGGGTGTTGTAACGGCAACAAAGATGGCCGCAGTTTCGGCATTGTGGCGGTAGGCTGCTACTCATTCGGTGCTGAAATTCCGGCCACTCCAATTCTGACCCTGGCTCGGAAAAGTGATCCGTCCGTGTATATGTGGGCATGGGTTGGGTAGTCCGAGCCTAGCAGTTTGGCTACTGCTCTCCTCAGCGCTGCAGAGTTATCTCCTGCCTTGAACCTGCTCTTTATTCGACTCTCAATTTTTGGTGGAGGTATGCGCCAACTTTTGTTTCCGTACCAGTGGGGGGAGCTCCGAATTGGCAGTCATGCGGAGAAGTTTGTTCCCCTCATCGAGGAGTAAGATCCTGTCATTTCCGGAGGTCATTGCTGTCAAAGCAGCGGCTCTCGTTGCAATTGCTGCGGTTATACGATGGCGGAAGGGCAGAATACCCGCTTCGATGCATGCGGCATCGGCGGGCGTTGACAGGAGAAGACCGGAGACAATCCGAACGTAGGTGTTGAACGTTGGTGCTAGTATCTGCACGAGCTTTTCGGTGGCGGTGAACGTCATCTCAAGACCGTACAGTGGGCGACTATCGATGACGGCTCTTGCAACCCGGAAACGAGTGTTGCGATTGTTAGACCAGTGGAGAGATGGTGCGAATCAAGTAGTCTTCTTCAGTGGTATGGGCTGGCTTTGCACTTTGATAGGTGGCCCTCTGACACGGTGCCGGGATGGACACACGTGGCACCTGACGCTTTTGGTGACCGAAAGCTGGAAACCTACCGCGCTGGCCCACCTGGATACAGCGGATACTGCTGCCTGGGTCTTGATCCTGTTACGTGCTGCTATTGGGCCGGTAATTACGATAAGTACATCGTCAGCATACACGAAAATGTAAACATTTTTCCGCAGTCCTCCCAAAACTCCGTTCATGGCCGCAAAGAAGAGGGTAGTGGCGATAACTGAACCTTGTGGGACGCCCGTATCTTCTCTGAAAATCTGGGACCTCGTATTGCCAACTCTGGGACCTCGTGTTGCCAACTGCGACTCTGAAAGAACAATCGGTCAGGAAATTTTTGATGAAGTGGACCATGGGTCCACACAGCCCCCAGTTGACAAGCTGCTTTAAGACGAGGGGCGTTCACGTCCTGTTGAAGGCCTGCGATATATCCAGCGAGACGATCTCGGTGTGGAGCCCGCTATCTTTGGCACTCTTGAGGACCTCCCCTAATGTCACTGTCACTGGAAAATTGAATGAAACGGACAGTGTGTGTTCTATCACGCAGACAAAAAAAAACTCAGTTTTTCTGACCACAAAAATAAACTAGGTTGATTCAAACGTATTTTATGTTAAAATTCATGTGACATTACTGTTTAAAATAAAAATCGTTTAACGTTTATTTTAAACATATTCATGTTGAAAATAAATGTGAATATTTTTGTTCGATTTGACAACTTTGTAAACAAAAATATATATGTTTTTATTTTAAACGTGAATTTCGAGTTTATTTTAAACGTATTTTATGTTTATGTTTATTATTATAAATTATTTTTGAACGAGTGATAAAACAAATAAAAGTGCACGATTAGGTTAAATCTGCTTGGTGTTTTCGATGCATTTAAACTGGGGTTTTAATACGCAACAGACACTAAGATGATTCAAACTAATCATGTGCTTTTATTTGTATTATCGCCATCACATGATCTGGATGCAATCACATCCGTATTCAGAAGCGATGTGATAGCACTCACCTCCCCATTGTCCGTCATTCCATGGACAAACTTAACAATACTCTGGGGCTTTTTCTGTCCATAACTCCAAACGATGAGTCCCATGGACACCAAATGTTCGTTACCGATAAACTTGACACACCAAAGTTATCCGAGCAGGGAAGTAAATGCATCAATGCTGGTAGCCGGTGTTTGTCGACCGTGTAAGGTCTCCATGAAAAACATCTCATTCAGGGACCAGTCCTTCACCGTCCTATCTTTCGGACACGAATATAACTGATGGATATTGTTCTGGAAATCCACCCTGGTAACAACGTTTGACTGTCCACAGTATTCACCAGCTTAAGTGTCCGTCCAGCTCTTGGTTTTATCGGCCCCTAAGCAAAATTTCAGATCCTGAGAAGAGGCCAGCGAAAGAACTACCGTCTTCTGCGCCTTTGTCACGGCCAACCGTTCTTGCATGGCCAGGTCCCACTGGACAATGATCCCATTATTATTCACCACGTACAGAAACCGATCATCGTGAGTAGAGCACAGACACGTCGGTGACAAATGTTGGCAAATACGATTGATTTTTATAGTGTTGAAATAAACATCCTTTTTAATTTAATTCAAACATAAATATTTAAGTTTGAAACATGTTTTCAATAAATTTTGAATAATTCATATTTTTAGAGTGTAAACATTCATATTTTAGATTTCAATGAACAAAATTAGTATTCGTGATAAGGTTCTGCACCGCCGGAGTTAACCTCAATCTGATGACAGCTCAGTGGTACTGTTTACGTTGACTTAGTCGATTTTTCATGGGGAGATTGTCTCGATAATTTTTCAAACTTCAGTGAGATCTAAACCACACTTCTGCAATATCCGCGAGCAACATCCTTTCACCACGCATTTACTCGACAATTTTCAAATTAAAATTCGGAAATTTTAAAATTATTATGTTTTATATCTACTAAGTGCCACTGAACTGCCAAAAAGGTTCAGCTGATTAACACTGAGTTCATTTGTGACGTCATGCTGCAGTACCTAATTCCATCTTTTATTCGAGAACACCCAACACCAGATGCAGTTTTAGAGCTGAACGAAGCAGCAATTTTCGCCGTTTTGTACCTGAATAAGAGTCGTAAAAATGTGGAAAAAATCGAGACAAAAATTTCATATGTACATTGAGATGTTGCTCATATTAGAAATTAATTAATTAATTTAGCTTTATTTAGGAGGCTTTCAGCCTTAGGCTGGTTCGCCTCCGAGTCATATTAGAAAACAAATTCCTGCAAAAGCTCGTAAAGTTTTACTCAGTCTATGAGTTAACTACTTTTTCAAGAATATGAGTGAACTAATCTTAAATTTGAGTCGACCTTATTTTTCGTGTAATCGTAATTTATCATTTTATAAATTGCTTTTAACGTATGCGGCGTGAATGGATGCTTCCCCAACTCCAATAAGGCTCAATTAGTGAAAAGCAGATATTTTTTGCTCGAACATGACTTTTACTGACATTTCAAATTTCGCATCGATTTCATGACCACACCCTCATCCCCGTAACACGCAAAACTTCTGCTAATTGTATGCAGCCCAATTACAGACATTTCTGAAATTCAAAGACATTTTTCGCAGACTTCTGAAAAAGAAAATCTGGCATCTCTGCTCCACAGTATGTATGAATCGCTCAAAAGTTTGAGGTCACCCTCAAAACAAAACCTGGAAATGTTTTTTGATCATACCTTTGCAATTTTCGATTCCAAATTTAAATATGTGGTAAGTGACTTAACACTCACTTTTTTTAACCAATCATGTTTGTATTACTTCATGCGTGAAGTTAAGGATTTATATAGTAGGAGATGCTTAACGACAAGTGGTCATTTTAAACGATCGATGAAGAGATGAAAGTATAGAGTTGATAGTTCCGTTAGAGTACGGCAGTGTGAAAATTGTATTCTTCTTATTCTTCTTCTTCTTCTTCTTCTTCTTCTTCTTCTCCGCATTTCAAGCTTATTGCATATCGCATATTAGCTTATTGCATGCTCTCAACTTAGTGTTTTGTATGCACTTCCACAGTTGAGAGCTTTCGATGCCTGTACCATTTTTGCATTGGTAAAATTTTGCCGCCAATCTCAATCATACTTCTATGATCAGGGAAGTCGCGAAATTTTTCAACCCGAAAAATACCCAGACCGGTCCAGGAATCGAACCCAGCCACCTCCAGCATGGCATTGTTTTGTAGCTGCGCCTTTACTGACTGAGCTAAGGGAGGCCCCAGAATTGTATATAGACAGTAAAAAGCGAGCTAAAGTCAATTTTGAGGAAGGCACGAATTGGGTTAATCATCTCCTTTACCAAACTGCCCTTTTTGGGGAGGGATGGTGAAGGGTATCTTCCCCCGACACTACTGGCAAAAGAGATGATCCCCGACTTGCTTACTTACCTTCGATATTCGGAAATAGTTATATTGATTGTTTCACGCTCAAGTCGTCATCTGACGTAAGCATCGCAAAAATTGAAGGTTTGTGGGGCATGTATATGAATGTAAAAGGATGACCTCAAATCGTTGCATTTTCTCAATCAAACAACATATTCTATTAAGGAAATAAAAATGATATAACATCTATTTTACCGGAAGCACAGTGTTCAGAGTGTTAAAGCCATCAATAAACTTACAATACGAAAATTGAAAAATAAATTCTGAATTCAAAAGTGTTTCTAAAACCACAGGAAGAAAGGATTTTGACTCCAAATCAACCGTTTTAAAGTGTTTTTTTTTCTTGTTTCTGCGTTTCCCGGTCTTGATTAAATTGCCTTTTTTAAATGCATCAAAATGTGTAATGTACATATGTTTTAAGGAAATTTTTAATATTTTGTGCTGAATAAACTTGCCATATTCGAAACCATTAAATCCAAAGTAAAATGATTGAATCACTCCTTACTGGCGGGTACCATGTCCTAGCAAACGATAGAAAGCTGATAAATTATTACTGTGCCAAGCGGGCAGCTGTCTGACTGGTCCAGCACTCCGTGATGCTGAACCCAAAGATGACATTTTCTTTGCACCCATCAAAAGTATAGACTGCCTGACTTCAACTCTTGAGCATGTCCAATGGTGGCTACAAAAGAAATGGAAGTACATTTCGCTGACTGTCGCGCGCGATAAGTGTTGTGAAATGTTCCTCCTTTCTCAGTGGTAACTTTATACTGCACAGGACGTAAAACTTTGACAACTGCACGTTCATTTATATGTCTGGCTCCGCTAATAGGTAGAGCTTTGTAAGGAGCTCCGTGAGAGTAATGGTTAAAAGACGGTAGAGAAAAAAAAACCAAACGTTGCATGCAGTGCTGCTAGCTGCCGGTGGATTTTTCGTAGTATTTGGTCAACATTTTGTTAAATTGAGATAATTGATTAAACTCATACAATGATCACAAAAAAAAAAACTAGAAAAGCGTGTTATAAGATAGCATTGATGGCAACACTGCATTTGTATCTATGCAACTATTCACCGAAATGATTTATGAGTCCACCTTTGTTGCATTGCACACATTATCTCCCCGATGGGAAAGTATACTTCATCGCATTTTGTAAAGCTTCACATAAAGGAAAATACATTAAGATATATTTTATGGATGGAAACTCAAAAGAATACTTCCAAGATCCTTTAAAATTTCATCAGGATCATTCATTTAAATTAGGTAAACTTGTAGTGCCAATCGCCCGCTCCAGAAAAGCTCCCACAAACATCCCACAGTCAAAACCTCAAATCTGTTCACCCCTTATCCCCTTGAATGGAAGAGATTTCAAAATTATTCCCTTAATCACTACCCCGGATGGCAATAAAACTGGAAAAAGGAGCACATCACATATCTCTTTTTCCGTTCCAATGGATTCTGAAAATCACCACTTAAAACTAATGGATTAAAATAAATCCCCCACTTTTTCGACAATCATCGTATAGCTTTCTCTTCTCCTGCTAGCGACTATGAGAGGTTGGTAGTTTTCTTCGAAACCCAAAGTCCCCTCTCTCGCTCCACTGCAGGGCAATGATGGGTTTCTGCAGCTCCAGCTTGCGATAGTCTTCTTTTCTGCCGGAAGTTGCCGGGATGTGTAGAAATGCTTTACGTTTCTGGCGAGACACACAGCAGAACTTTGTAGACATCTTCCGGGCCGATGCGTATGTGAGACATGCCTCCGCGCTGGTGTAGAACAAACCAAGACACATATATCTTATTGGCATTTTACAAATGGTTCATTGCTTTTTTGGGGGAGATGGTTGGTTTTTTTCTTCTTCTTTATAATGGCAGGATAACTCTTTTGGGTTTGATGGGAGTTTTTCGATGATGTCGTCATTTGTATCAACTTTGCATTTTTAACATTGTACGTACATATTTTGGAAACTGCACAATTGATAATCCTATGTACGGAGCTGGTGAAGGGCAGCCGTTTCACACCAAATGACGAATCGGTTTGCTGCAATCTTCTTCGATTGGCGTGAAAATTTGCATAATTGTTTGATATGGTCAATCATTTTCATATGAGTTTAAATTCGGCCATAGAATCTAGCACAAAAAAAAACATTAAAAAAGTGGATTCCTTATTTTCAACAAATTATAAATCGTAAAAGTAATTTCCAATCGAAATGACATCTGTCACAAAATTGTATATATTATATAAGTTAAATACGAACCTTCCCCGGACTTATCCTCTGGAGGGCCGCCTGACGCAGCTAAAGGAGTATGCGCCCGCATCGAGATAGCGCAGTCAGCACCAACGCAGCAGGATGACATCGGACACCTTGCCAGACCCAGGAATTCCAGCCAGTCGGACAACGTGACGATCGGACCATCGTTGCTAGGTGCCAAGTTAGCACTTTAAGGGCAAAAGGCAGGGCAGTTAGGTCTTTGATTAAAACTGAATAAATCACTTCGTATCCAGTAGTCAGACCGTGTAGTTCGTGTGTTCTTTTTTTTTTAAAAGTACCTCCCGATAGATGAAAACTTAAGTTATATACAGGGTGTTTGATTGCGGGTTTTATACATTTTTAGGGTAGATAGGGCTCCCACAGTAATGAAAAAAAAATCTCAATTTAACATATGGTTGGAAATGACAGCTAATTCATTGTTCATGTTTTTGCTAATATCCAAATTTGGTGAACTATATTTTATCAAATTTAATCTTTTTTTTTCTGGTTTAGACATGTAAAATTAAATGTCTTATCTATCAAAGCTTACGTGAGAGGAACTCGATTGAAGTTAATTATGATAAATCAAAATTGAAAAATATGTTCAAAGTATCAACAAAGCTGATCAAATAACGTACATTTAAGTTTTTTTAAGATGAGCATTTTGATTACTGTTTATTTATTTGTCTTACAAAACATTCTTTGCTGGTAATCTTGTAGGTTGTATGTTTTTTTCTTATTTATTGATTTAAAACACAAAGGAAAACATGTGATGTTTTCTCAAATTGCGCTATGGGCACCGTATTAGTTCGTACGTTTGGCTGTTGCTGTCCAATACGCGCACGGAAATTGGTTAGAATAGTATTGTAAAGGCTGAGATACATTCTTAACTTTCGATTACCTCGCAGGTCAGCTGTGGTGCTATTTAAGTGGAGGAGTGCGTAGCTCAGCTACTTTTGCATGCTGCTGTGAAGCGTTTAGCATCCACGCCTCTGGCCAGTCTTTAGACCAAGCAAGGCAGAGCACCGGCTAGTGAATGAAAATAATTCAATAATACATTATTTTATCATTTTTGTTTACAAAATTTGACAAAATAAGGTTACCAATATCTCAAGTCCCATAAAACATATAACTGTTTTATGTCTGAGCTCTCATAAGTCATCAAAGTCCCAGAAATTTTTACGATCCATTATAAAATCGAACACTACTCGGACCAAAGCGATCGTTCTGAATGGATCTTTTGGCCGACTAGTGAAAAATGGGAGGAAGAACAAAAAATAACAAACATCTAAGGAATTTGGAACACAGAAAATATGCGACTCACCACCAGTCCGACCTTTGCTGCTTCGTGTTTCAGGCGGGTGTATAGTTCTGCCACCGTTCCAAATGTTCTTGCGATAATGTCCATGTCGTCCGCAAAGCATACAAATTGACCGGATTTCGTGAAAATCGTACCCCGGCTGTTTAGCCCGGCTCGTCGCATTACACCTTCTAGAGCAATGTTGAAGAGTAGGCATGAGAGTCCGTCACCTTGTCGCAGTCCCCGGCGAGATTCGAATGAACTGGATAGTTTCCCGAAACCCTTACGCAGTTTTGCACACCGTCCATCGTTGCTTTGATCAGTCTGATCAGCTTCCCAGGAAAGCCGTTCTCGTCCATGATTTTCCATATCTCTGTGCGGTCGATACTGTCGTATGCCGCCTTAAAGTCGATGAACAAATGATGCGTTGGGAACTGGTATTCACGGCATTTCTGGAGGATTTGCCGTACGGTGAAGATCTGGTCCGTTTTCGATCGGCCGTCAATGAAGCCGGCTTGATAACTTCCCACGAACTCGGTCATTTTAGGTGATAGACGACGGAAGATGATCTGAGATAGCACTTTGTAGGCGGCATTCAAAATGGTGATCGCTCTGAAGTTCTCACATTCCAAATGGTCGCCTTTCTTGTGAATGGGGCAGATTACTCCCTCCTTCCACTCCTCCGGTAGCTGTTCTGTTTCCCAGATCCTGACTATCATCCGGTGCAGGCAGGTTGCCAACTTTTCTGGGCCCATCTTGATGAGTTTGGCTGCGATACCATCCTTACCAGCTGCTTTGTTGTTTTTGAGCTGCTGAATGGAGTCCTTAACTTCCCTCAGCGTGGGAGTTGGGTCAGTTCTGTCCTCTGCTGCACTGACGTAGTCGTTTCCTCCATTGCGCTGGTCTCCCGTGCCTACGTTCTCCTCGCCATTCAGGTGCGCATCGAAGTGCTGCTTCCACCTTTCAATCACCTCACGTCCGTCCGTCAAGAGGCTTCCGTCCTTATCCTAGCACATTTCGGCTCGTGGCACGAATCCGTTACGGGATGGGTTGAGCTTCTGGTAGAACTTCCGTGTTTCTTGGGAACGTGCCAGCAGTTCCATTTCCTCGCACTCTGCTTCTTCCAGGCGGCGTTTTTTCTCCCGAAAGATGCGGGTTTGCTGTTTCCGCTTCTGTTTATACCGTTCCACGTTCTGTCGGGTTCCATGCTGCAGCATTACCGCCCGCGCTGCGTTCTTCTCCTCCAAAATCGCTATGCACTCCTCGTCGAACCATTCATTCTGTCGATTACTTTCCACGTACCCGATAGTGCTCTCGGCTGCGTCGGTGATGGCTGCTTTTACTGTACTCTAGCAGTCCTCTAGAGGGGGCACATCGAGTTCGCCCTCCTCTGGCAACGCTGCCTCGAGATTCTGCGCGTATGCTAAGGCGACATCCTGTTGCTTCAGTCGCTCTAGGTTGTACCGTGGCGGGCGTCGGTACCGTACATTGTTGATGACGGAAAGTTTTGGGCGCAGTTTGACCATCACCAGGTAGTGGTCAGAGTCGATGTTAGCGCCACGATAGGTCCTGACGTCGATAATGTCGGAGAAGTGCCGTCCATCAATCAGAACGTGGCCGATTTGTGATTCCGTCTGCTGTGGTGATCTCCAGGTGTAACGATAGGGGAGGTGGTGTTGGAAGAAGGTGCTACGTATGGCCATGTTCTTGGAGGCGGTGAAATCGATGAGTCGTAGGCCGTTCCCGTTTGTCAGCTGGTGGGCGCTGAACTTTCCAATCGTTGGTCTGAATTCCTCCTCCTGGCCTACCTGAGCGTTTAGGTCTCCTATGATGATCTTGACGTCGTGGCTTGGGCAGCGATCGTACTCGCGGTCGAGCTGCGCGTAAAATGCGTCCTTGTCATCATCAGTGCTTCCGGAGTGAGGGCTGTGCACGTTGATTATGCTAAAGTTGAAGAATCGGCCCTTGATCCTCAACCTGCACATTCTTTCGTCGATCGGCCACCAACCGATCACGCGCTTCTGCATTTCGCCCATCACGATGAAAGCTGTGCCCAGCTCGCGTGTGTTGCCGCAACGCTGGTAGACGGTATGATTACCTCTGAACGTTCGCACCATGGATCCTGTCCAACACACCTCCTGCAGCGCTACGATGCCGAATCCGCGGTCCTTCAGTAGATTGGCGAGTATTCGGGTGCTCCCGATGAAATTGAGAGATCGACAGTTCCACGTGCCGAGTTTCCAATCGCAAGTCCTATTTCGTCGCTGGGGTCGTTGCCGTTGGTCTCGGTTCGTATTCCTCTGTTGCTGATTTTCCTTTGCAATGCTTTTTTTACGGCTGGCTCGCAGGGCCTGACACCAACTCCCTAACTTTCCGGAGGACCAGGGTGCACAGTTCTGCTTAGAGTCCTTCACTGGCACTCGGACGTAGATCAGCCGCCCCTAACATGGGAACAGACGCTGTTGTGAGCCGCTCCTCCTGGAGAACAGACGCATATCATAACTGGCAACCATTAAATATGTCTGATGATTGATGAATTAAAAAAAAAATCATATGGAAAACACAGAATTTAAATGAAGCATGTTGAAATATTGTGAAGTTCACAAGTAAAGATAAACGGCGCCGGTGGTGTAGTGGTAAGCGTGATTACCTCTCACTCCAGCAGGCCTGGGTTCAATCCCAGTCGGCGCCACCGGGATGTTCTGAGGCATAACATCTTTGATCACGCCTTCCTTCGGATGGGAAGTAAAGCCGTTGGCCCCCGGCTCATGAGTTGATAGGTTGATAAGTAGGGTCCAGGTGTGAGAGCTGCCTTCCTGGCACTTCGGTAGCATTGGTACTCAGCACGGAAAACAAGATCGACGGAAAAAACAAACCAAAGGAAAAAAAAAACAAAAAAACAAATAAAGATTGTACTCGAAAATAAATGTAACACTTTCTTTTGTGTATAATTTTTTCTTTCATGGGTAAAAAATGATGAAATTTTGAGTGAAACTAGTTTAGAGTGTAATGTTTACATGTGCAAAATTTCGTCACAATCTGTCAAGTGGTTATCGAGATGGCTTCCAAGCAAAAAGTGCTTCGACCAAAAAATATGGTATAGCGGTCCTGGAAAATCCAGTCCAGTGGATCGTGATACAGTTTGGAATCGATAATTCGACCATGTTCCGTGTGGTAAAATCGTTCAAAGAGACCCAAGTGAGAAAAGAAAATCGAAAACGACCGACCCAGTGAACGTAAGGAAGGTGAGGGGTTACTTCAAACGCAATCTGAACCTTTAGATTCGGGACGTGGCCAAGAAGGTCAATTCTTCCGTCTGGTTCGTCTAGCAGACAATGAAACGGGCCGGACTTCATGTCTTCAAGGTAAGGAAGGCGCCTAACTGAAGCGATAAACAGAATGCGGTGGCCAAATCCCACGACAGGAAGCTGTACCGCGAGTGGTTGGTGCAGCCGAAATGCATCGTAATGGACGACGAGACGTACATTAAAGTGGACGCCAAGTAGATCCCCGGCCTGGAGTTTTTCGTCGGCAAGTCCCGCCTGGATGTTCCGGAGAAGTACCGGAAGAAGAAAGTCGAAAAATGTGCCAAAAAGTACTTAGTGTGGCAGACGATCTGTGGGTACATCTATTATTATTATTTTATATATATAAAAATGAATTTCTGTCTGTCTGTCTGTCTGTCTGTCTGTCTGTCTGTCTGTCTGTCTGTCTGTCTGTCTGTCTGTCTGTCTGTCTGACCCTTATAGACTCGGAAACTACTGAACCGATTGGTGTGAAAATTTGTATACAGGGGTTTTTGGGGCCGTGGAAGGTTCTTATGATGGTTCGAGACCCCTCCCCCTTCTGTAAGGGGGGGCTCCCATACAAATGAAACAGAAATTTCTGCATAACTCGAGAACTAATCAAGCAAATAGAACCAAATTAGGCATGTGGGGGTATAAGGAGATAATCATAGGGGGTAGCCCCTTAGATAATAGGGGGGGGGGGAGCTACGTACAATATAGCATGCTTTTTTTTAAATCGGCGCATAAACTCAAGCTAATATTGAATCCCGAGCAAGACCGGGCACACTCAGCTAGTAATGTATAAAGAAGAATGCCTCCAGAAGCGCCTGCCGGGCCTTCCTCCGGTTTCACGAAGGTGGCACTCGGTTTGGCCGGATCTGGCATCGTGTCATTACGCCCAACCAGTGATGGAGTGGTACGAAGCCAACGATGTTCTTTTTGTGCCGAAGGAGGCAAATTCGCCAAACTCGCAAGAAATTTGATCAATAGAAAAATTCTGGGCGATTATGAAGGGCAAGCTCCGGAAAACAGGGAAGGTCTGCAAAAACGACAAGGATTTGGAGAAAGAGTGGATGAAAGTGTGTAAGAAAGTTGGCGCAAAAATATCCAAGAGGCATGATTTGATATAAAGGGTGTCCCACATCAAATTGCATCACGGAAAAAAACGCTTTTGAAAATTACCTAGGTGAACGAACCTTTTCAAACTTTCAGACAATAAAATATAACCCATTAGTAAGCTTTTGGCATATTTATTTCATTCAACTTCAATATCATAACCGAACGCTCGCACCTTACGCTTAACTCCACTCATTAGGCTACGTACAACATCTGGTTGGAGCTTCTTCTGATGATGATGATAGTGGTTTACCACCCATTGTAGCACGGAAACTAATTCCGACAGTAGTGGGCTCTCTGTTTGTATTGATCAAGCTTAATAACCTCTGATTGTCCTCAACATGTCGCTGTATAAAGGGCAAAAAACGAATTGGGTAGATCGATAGGCAAAGTCGCCTATACGCATCTAAGCATCCAAATCGCTTCAATCTGGTACCCTGTTGGACCGTCCCATTCCTTTTATATATGTTTTTCAATGTATATACGAGTTGATTGGGAAGGGGCTCATGGTCATCTTCTTCTTCTTCAGGTTCACTCATCATCCGGAATAAAGGCTCGGTGCGGTTAGTTATATCAAAAGTGTTACATGCAAACGAAAAAGAGATAGGGAAGAGCGCTACTTCATCGTAATCGCCCATTTCCGTTCTATCGAGCAGAAATCATCGATAACATCAATGGTTTCACCGTGCACAAAACAATAATACGTTTGTTCCGATCCGTTAGTTCATAAGCCACAACATAAAGCCTATTACAGCGCATTGTATGAATATTTACACTCATTGTTCTCAAAACAAAAGAAGCGCTCCTAGCGAATCACCTTTTTCTACGTTTATCCGTAGGACGAAGAAAATCTAATGCCGTTTCAATGCGTTAGGATGGAATTGAAACTTGTAGGACGGATTTAGAATCAAGAAGTAGTGTTAGATTTTTAATAATATCTCCACATTGTTTGATTCTTTAACAAATCCAAGGTGAGTATGGAAAAGTGAATAAATTTAGAAGTTATCTTTGATGAAAACATTCCATGTTTTGTTCAAACCCTTTCGAAAAAGAGAGGTAAAGTGCGGGATGTGCTTAGTAGGACGGAAATTAGATCAAAAACCCTATAACAAGGATTAGTTTTTTAAAAGTAATCTAACCATATCTCAGTGACATTGTCACACTCTGACCCTACATTAAAAGTTATTTTATGATTGTATGGTTACTTTGGTACTCACATGAAATGTTCTGCAAGTACCACAAGTTCAACAACGCCCAACTATGGAGAGCTCAATGTTAATAACATTTACTCTTTGAATCCGTGTAAACCAACATGATAATCTTCTAAGAAACACCTAATAATGTATAGAGATAAAGCTCAAAAATTCAGTTTTAACTGATATTATCACCCATATGCCCGTCCACGCCCGATATCCATCCACCACACAAAATCAAATAAAAATGTTTCTGTATGACAAACACGTCCAGACATAAACGATAATATGGGTGTATATCTTCACAGTAACAACTACGGGTAATCAACGAAAGTACTTGTATTTTACTCAGGCACTTTTGAGCAAACTGCAATCACTCTCTCATACTCGAAACGTGCCACGACCAAATTGGCACAACGACGCCCTATACGCTATCTGACCAAAGCGCAGGGACATCTGGTTGCAGCTTTTTCTGTACGCAAACCCACTTTTTCTTCATGTCTTGCTCAGATTTGACCTCCATGGGATGCTTCCGTAGTGCCTACTTCAGAATAGCCCAGTATTTTTCGACGGGCCTTAGTTCCGGTGCGTTGAGGGGGATCATGTCCTTGGGTACCCCGTTGGCTTCGTACCACTCCAGGACAACATTTGAATAGTGGCACGATGCTAGATCCGGCCAGAAGGTCTTAGGTCGTGTTGCTTCAACAGAGGAAGCAGACGCTTCTATAGACACTCCTTGCGGTAGATCTCCCCGTTTACAGTCCCGGTAGTCACGAACGACCACTCTGTTTGCCACATGAGCAGATCGCTTGCTAAATCATTTATTTTTTGGCAAACTTTGAAAACTTCTGCTTCCTTACTTCCTCCAGAACATCAAACTTGTGTAGAAGCTGCCGAAAGTCCGCCTTGACGTAAGTCTCACAATCTCACATTGCACAGTGGTCCAGAATGCAGATTTAGGTGGAATGATTTGTTTTGAGCCTGAAACTGAAACTTTAGACTAAAAGTCTCTTCTACGCCCCTCTTCTACGCCCTCATTTTTATGACAGTGAATTCTAGGGTGGTTCCTATTATCATTAAAATCAAAAATCTAACTTTTTTGTTTGAATAAATTAAGGTATACATTTTTCGGCAAAGTTATAGCTGAGCAAATTTCAAGGAACTTTGTTGAAGATAACTTTTTTGTATCTCTTAAATTGGCTGATTTAGAGCTATTTTCTTGAATTGAGTTAGGGTGGCACTTTAAAAAACAGTTTTTTTTTCTCTAATTTTCTTATTTCAAATTTCTCAGCAAAGGTGTGTTCAGATAACTTTTAGATCTTAAGAAGGCGCAAGTTTTTGCTGCACAAAGCTTGTCAATATCTTTCGCCAATCAAGAGGCGAAATTTGAAATTTCTCATGAAAGTTATCTTCTAGAGAATTTTAAAACTCTTTTAGAAGAATGTTTTATACCTGAATTTGTTGCCTGTATCTCTTCTAATAAAAAATGTATACCCAAATATAGTAAAAAATATGACTAAATTCAAATTGATTTTATACGAGTTTAAAAAATATCATACCTCCAATTTTGTCAAAATAATGAGAATAACATACGCCCTTTCAAATGCCGTAAAAACTTTTTTTTGTATGCCCCAACCAGTTTTAGTATAAAAACGTCAATAACTCTTGATCGGCGAAAGATATTGACAAGCTTTGTGCAGCAAAAACTTGCGCCTTCTTAAGATCTAAAAGTTATCTGAACACACCTTTGCTGAGAAATTTGAAATAAGAAAATTAGAGCAAAAAAACTGATTTTTAAAGAGCCACCCTAACTCAATTCAAGAAAACAGCTCTAAATCAGCCAATTCAAGAGATACAAAAAAGTTAACTGGAACAAAGTTGCTTGAAATTTGCTCAGCTATAACTTTGCCCAAAAATGTATACCTTAATTCATTCAAACAAAAAAGTTAGATTTTTGATTTTAATGATTATAGGAACCACCCTAGAATTCATTGTCATAAAAATGAGGGCCTAACTATAAAAAACAACTTTGTAGAAGAGACTTTTAGTCTAAAGTTTCAATTTCAGGCTCAAAACATATCATTCCACCTAAATCTGCATTCTGGACCACTGTGCATTGGTTCATTGGCTCTCTGAACGAAAGATTCAAAGTTTTGGCCACATCCCTGACAGAAGTATTGGGATTCCGCCTAAACACTTTCACGACTTGTGATCCTGATCACTAATAAAACATCCATTCTGACCGCATTTCTCCTTGCGTTTGATGCTCAGAGTTTCGTAGTAATGTCAGAAATCACACGACTCACCGTTGACTGCACTATTCCGAGTTGTTTTCCGATGTCCCGATGAGAGAGTTGAGACGTTGCTTTTCGGGTGACGCCATTTTTTCCTACTTTCGGAAAACTGGCAGCGATAAAAATACAGTGTAAACAATACACTCTGAACTACTTCTACCCAAATTTTCAAGAGAAAATACGAAATGGGTAATTTTCTACAGCGTTTTTTTCCGTGATGCAATTTGATGTGGGACACCCTTTATTGAACAATAAGAATTCATCAGGAAATTTCAAATCAATCAGAAGAATTTCCAAAGTAACCATAGAAAAGTATGCAGGTATTTGATTAATTTAAGGCCATTGCAATACACGGGAACCTCCATTTACGAACCATTTAATCTAATTAGTGCGTAAAAGAAAAACTCGTTATTTGGGATTCACTTCGTAAAAAGAGGTTTATGATAATATTGTAAAATACACCACAATATTGGTATTTTTTGGAATCGGAGTGTGTTTGTACAAAACGTGTGCAACTACCCTACCCAAATACTCATATCAATACACAAGTGCCGCAAGCGTAGTGTTATCATGCCTACCGTTCTATTGTAAAGATTGCAAATAAATTCAATAGTTCGCATGCCTCTGCCATGGCAGGATGGCCCGATAAACGACCGTGTTTTATTTTCACCATCTATTCACACAACGTAGGGAAGTTCTGCCCGTGCGCGATCAGAGTGATATGTAAGAACTGGAAATCCATGTCGGATGTTATTTTGAATTCCAAGATGGCGGCTTCCGGTTACAGAAAAACTGGGATATACTGTCAAATTCCAGTCAAATGAGTATTTCTAGAATTGGTGTGACGTATAGGAACCGGAAATATTTGTCTGATGCCACTTTTAAATCGGAGATGTTGGCATCCAACCACCATCTTGGATCAAAATGGTGTAAGACATGGATTTCCTGTCCCTACACGTCACCCCGATTCCAAAGTTTTCTGTAACCGGAAGCCATTTCTTGGATTACAAAATGGAGTCAGACATCGATTGCTGGTTCCTTAACGTCACGCCGATTCCAAAAATACCCATATTGTGCAGTATTTGACAGAATCTCCAAGTTTTTTCTGTAACCGGAAACCGCCATCTTGGATATCAAAATGGTGACAGACGTAAATTTTCCGGTCTGTACACATCACTCCAATTCTAAAAATTCCCATATTGTGGGGTATTTCACAGTATTTCACAGTTTCGCAAAATCGAAAAAAAAATTGTTATTTTGAATTTACTTCGTAAAAAAAACT